TCCTTCCTCCTCCTCCTCTTCATCCTCGAGGAAATCTAGGGAGTGAAGGCAGAGATTACCCCATGACCATGACAAGGAGGCAGAGCTTGTCCCAAGCAGGTGAGCCTGCAGGTGGTCGAGGTGAGGGAGCGGAGTTGGGGGCAATGAGGGATGTCCACCAGGGCTGGCAGCTCTGGGTGCTGCTGCTTACCCCCCTCCCCCCAAACCTCAGCCACATCTTGGCACCACTCTGTGAGTAAACCCAGCCCGCAAGGCCTTTGCCAAACTGCAAACCAACCAGGACAGGTTCTGAACAGCCTCTGGCTTCCCTGTGAGCACCCCTAGGCTCCACGGACATCCCCAGGCGCCACACCAGCTCCAGTTCCTGTTGCCCACTGCCCAGGCCAACCCAGGAGGTGTGGGTACAGGTCTGCAAGGAGGGAGAGCAAATCCCAACCCAGTGTCCTGCTTCCCACATCCCACAGCACTTTGTGGCCAAGCCAGGCAGGATGCTCAGAGGGATGCTCGGGGAGATGCTCAAAGGGATGCTGCTCTGCCCTGGAGCCCCTGGCGGCGCTGCAGTCATCCTGAGGAGCCACAGCTTGGAGCGAGGCTGTCAGGAGCTCGGCACCATGCCCAGCCACCCCGGGGCCAGCAGGGGCACTGACTCACTGTCTGGGCTGAGGAAGAGAAACGCTCGCTGCCGCGGATCCTCCTCCTCCTCCTCATCCATCTTCATGTACTTATAGAATCCAAACCTGGGGATGGAGAGAGAAGGTAAGGGCGCGGTGAGAAGGGAGGAGTGCGCAGGGAGGGGACGTGCATGCACGCACGAGCCTGCACAGGGAGGAGCACCCCAGCTGTGAAGGGAGCTGGGCTGCCCAGTCCAGGAGCACTGCCAGCTCTCAAGTTGTTACGTGCCTGGGAGATAGGAGAAAGAGCCAGCCTGGGGGTGGCCCTTCCATGGGGGACAGAGCTTAAGGACACATCATCTCAGTGCTGTTCCTCCCAGCTCTGAGCACCCTGTTGACACCAGCCCCCTCTTTCCCCTGCATGTACCACCCCAAAATCCTGCCCCCAGCACCTACTTCTCCAGGTAGAGGGGGGACTCCCTGTAGAAGCACTTGTTCTCTGTCTCCATGTGAGTGAGGCGTGTGTAGTCGTTGGGGTACACGAACGAGAGGTAGACCTGGGGAAGTGACCATGCTGTGTTATGACCTGAGGCCACCACTGTTTCCCCCCAACAGCAAGGTGACACCCCTGGCACCTCAAACACCCCACAGGGCATTAACTCCAACTCTCTCAGGCCAAGCTGGGAAAGCTCAGCCTGACTTTCCACTGAAGTATGCTTTCTCCCGGATTTTAACCAGATGGAAACATCCCTGCCTTGGGCTCCACCACATCTCCACAGGAGTGCGGCCTCGTCCCCACCACAGGGAGATACTTACGAACTGCAGGCCCTGGTAGCGGGCGATGGGGAAGTCCTTCACCACGTAGGTGGGGCTGTAGGCACAGGGCACCAGCACGTTCTCCACTCGGGAGGCCTCGATGGCAGGGGCGGGGGAGAAGCAGCCACTGCTCATTCCCAAGCCATATCCCACCGCCCCCATAGCCCAAACAATCCCATAGACCCAGCAGAGATGCCTCCACCCAAGAGATGGGCAGAGGGATGCTCCAGGTGCTTCTGCCAGCCAGGTCCTGCCTTTTTCCTCCCACAAACCCCACCAGAGATCAGCAAGGATCCACGCCCATGTGCTTACTGAGAAAAAAGGTGTCCCTGGGGTCAGCCTTCAGCATGTCAGCCCCATGCTCATCCTGCTGGGCCTCCCAGAGGTGGCTCCCACTGTGGCTGGCCAAGGTCTGTGGTATGTGCTCCACATGGTTCATCTTCAGGGACGACTCATCTGCAGGAGAGGGCAGGGGCTGAACCCCACAGGCACACCAGGAGCATCTTCTAAGGTGGCCCTTCTCAACCTCTCCAGTGCTCCCGCTGAGAGGGCTGGGAGCACTGTGGATTCCTCCTGCTCCCAGGGAAGCCCATGTTGCTCTCCCAGCCCCTGTGACTAATCAGCCTAATGATTATTGAGGGCACAGCTGATCCCAGCCAGGCCGAGCTGCTCCAATTACAGCAGCCTCAAAACCAAGGAACCACTCAGGGCTTTACCTCCTAAGGACACAGGGATTAAACCATGGATGTCCTTCCCTGCAGAGGTGCAGGTTAACTGCAACATGAGCTGGTTTACCTCCTATCCAGGGATGAGGGTGGCATGTCACCCTTGGCCATCAACCAGCCCCCAGGCTCCCTGCAGGAGGTCACCCTGCTCCAGTCACCTCGGCCCTGCTCCAAGGTGCCTGCCCTGAGCACACACAGTCCTGAGGGAAGCAGGAATACCCTTCCTGAGCCATAAATTCATCTGCTTGCAGCAGGGAAAGGCTTCCCAAATGTGGGAGGAAGGGGAGGAAGGAGCTGAATGGATAGAGGGAAGGAGCTCTGCCTGCTGCTGGCAGTCCCCATGCCACAGGGATGAGCTTCACCCTGGGGTGCTGCTGGGGCCTGAGGGAGCTGGGAAGCAGGAAAGAGAAGGGAAAGAACTGGCACTGACAGACAGCAGTCGTGGGAGGGGATTTATCTGCACCTCATCGATCCCACAGGCACCTGCACCAACACCCGCACCACCCCGTATCCCTCTTCTCCCTGCTGCCTGCCCACTCCTCCTTATCAACACTTCCAGGGCATGTTTGATGACCACTGCTCTAGCACACGGAGCACCAGGGCAGGACCCATCCATCATGGCCTTTCCTGCTGCCAGGGCAGGGGCAGGAAGCAGAAGATCTATAGATTTAATTAAACCTTGCACCATCCATCCCCACTTACATGACAGCTCCTCATAACTCAGGGCCAGGCCCGGCAGCCAGAGGGTCTTGGCAGCCACAACAAGGCTGGAGCAGCATCAGAGCTGTGCTTCCGTGGTGTGTCACCTCCACATCCCATTTTTAGGAGTCTCAGCTTGCTGCCAGCATCAACCCTACCCACTGCAGCCATTGCATCCTTCCTTACACTCAGAAGAAGCTCAGGGGCGGGGTGGGGGGGTTAAAGGCTGTGATCTCCCCCCAGGATCCAATTTTCCAGGCTCTGGCACTGTCCCTCCTGGCTGTACCAGCATATCCAGCCCTGGACAGCTTACTGGTTGCAGCTGCAGGAGGCACCTGCCCCTTACCTGTGTACAGAGAGATGTAGGAGGAGTCAATCACCTCGAACTTCAAGCTGGGGAGGAAAACTCGCCACTGGGAAAACATAAAAGGAGATAGGGAATGAGCAGGAGGGTGGCAGGGATTCAGGACACAGCTGCCCAGCCCTGGAACATGAGAATGTGTCCTCCCTGTCTGCAGCTCCCAGAAAACTTCCCTGCAGAAGAGGAACAAGGGAAAGGACTGATCCTGCCCCCTTTCCTGCCACTACTCAAGGAGGTTTGGGATTAATAGCAATCCCTGCATGGGCAGGGAGGGGAAGGCTCCTGGGTGAGGGATACAGGTTCATGCTACTTCCCTCTGGGGACTGCCACATGGCCACCTGTAGTCCTGTGGCCAAAGAACACCTCTCCTCGCTCCAGTGCTTCATGAAGATCAGTCTGCCTGGACTTAAGAGGGTCTCCAGAGCTGCCTGCCCTGATTTAACTCCAGCATTTTAAAAGCAAGTCTGGAGCCTTTGTCTGGACAAGCCCTTCAATCCCCCCAGGGAGAGACACAGCAGGGTCCTGCTTTTTGTTGTGGATGTTGTTGTTTCTTTCAGCGCAGCTGAAAGGTTTTTCTGCAAGGCTGAAAGGCTTCACTAGCTCCCCCCCTCCTCCCCTCCAGCACAAACGTCTCCCCGTCTATTTGTTTTCCCCATTATTTGTTTTCTCTGCAGAAATGCAGATCTTATCGGGCTGGAGGAGATGGGGAAGAGGCAGCCAGGGAGGAGGCAGCCAGCGAGGAAGGGGTGTTGTCGGCCTCCCTGATGCTTTGCTGGCACCAGTTTGACTCCAGTGATTAATGAGTTCTTGGGAGAAAGGAAAGCTTTGCTAACGAGCCAACATCTTCCCCTCCTGCCAGCCCCAGCCCCTGACACACGCTCCAGGCTTTGCTAGGGCTGTGCTGCCAAGGCAGACAAGTTCAGATTTGAAACTCATGGTAATTCCACGGGGAAAAGAAATCAGGGAATCACTGCATCACCTCAGCCACCTCGCCCACCACTGACCCTGGGATGCAGCCAGCAAGGTGGGACCTGCCTGCTCTGGTCTTATATGGTCTGGGTTCTCCCTGCCCACGGGAACGGGGTCAGCCCACAGGGACATTCCCTTCTGCCAGCCCTTTAGCAGAGGGCAAGGAAGAGGGAGAAGCAATGGGAATGCCACACAACACTGGAGGTTCCGTCACTGCTGGGGCCTGGAATAAAGGGGGTGCTCCATTAGCATCCATGATGGGAGCACATGGGAGGGACAGCAGGGTCTTCAGCTCCCCAAAGACCACCAGAAGGAAAGGATGGGATGAGAATGGAGAACAACAGTCTATGTGTTCCACTCAGGGAAACAAGATGAGCCCCAGCTCTGCCAGAGTGACACTGACCCTGCCCCTGCAGCAGCCACAGGAGAGGGAAATCATGGCTTTGCTCCAGGATAACATACATGAGGAAAAGCCCTGGCATTGGCTCTCCACATGAACAGTCCTGAAAGGAGCCTGGTGTGGGGGCATTTACTCACTCCAACCTCCACGTGGTCCGAGCCCCTGTCGTCCTGCTTGTGGAGCAGCTCGAAGTAGTAGCGTCGGGAGGACATAAGGCTGTGTGGGAGGGGACACAGCAGTTAGAACCTGTCACCAAGGTGGCAGCCACCACTGCCAGGGCAGTAGGAGCTCCTCTGCCAGAGGGGCCATCCCAGGAAATCCCCTCTGTCCTGCCCACAGGGAGGGCAGGATAGGGTGCCCGAGGTGGGTGTCTGCTCCCCCATCCCACTGCTGAGGAGCCTCATGAGGTCGGGGGGACCCCCTATCCCCACATCATCACCTGCAGAGGTGGCTGTGGCCCTCAGCACCTTCAAGCCGTGGACTTAGGATCCACCCCAGTCCCCACATGCCTTTTGGGAAGGGACCATGGCTGGGGTCTTCTCCCAGGAAGGAGGAAGTGGTCAGAGCCAGCAGCTCCATCTCTCTGACTCCAACACCCTAGGACGGGCAGTGGGAGCAAGGTCACACTCACCGTAAGGGCTTGGAGACTTGGGAGCTGAACTTGGTGAACTCTCCTGGTGCTGTCCACTCAGTGCCCAGCTGGGAAGGAAAGAGGAGCATGAGAGCACCAGGGACATCCTGCCAAAGCCCACCAGTTTCCCAAGACAGGAGTTAACAACAAGAAAATCCAAGAGCAAATATTCAATCTCCTATTCTGGGACATAAGCTTTTGGTAGCTCCAGACAAGATGGGATCAAGGGGCAGATGGTCCTTTGGAAGCCAAAACAGGCCCGGCCAGGGGCAGGGACAGGGCCAAGTTGAAACAGCCCAGCATTCCCAAAGGGGCAGAGAAGCAGCAGAGCTGCCTCTGGCATAGCCATACATGGACCCTGAGGGATTATTTGGAGAAGGCAGAAGGGATGGTTATCAACATACTGGGAACAAGGATTCCCGAGGGGGGAGACACACTGGGTGGGAGCTGAGGAACCCTGGAGCAGGGAAAGGCAGAGGCTGATGGGATGTACCTTGCCCACAGAAGCAACCAGGCGGGAGTTGGACGGACTGTCATCGGAGCTGAGCCAGAACTCTGAGTTGTCATCTGATGCCACAGAAAACTGGAAATCCCCTGTGGAGAGCCAAGGAAAAAGTCACCACAGAGGGATACAAGGACCCTGGTGGCATGGGCTCAGCCCCAGTGCCTCATGGTAAGATGGGAAAACAGGGATGGAAGGGATGGAAGGGATGGGGCCACCCCAGACCCATGTCATGGCTCTGTCCTGGATGGGATCAGGGCTTTGCCTCTCTTCAAGCAACAGGGAAAAGCATCTTTGCTCCAGAAGGAACTTCCTGCCTAGGAGCTTGAATTTGGAGATCATCTCCAAGGTCCTTTCTGTCCTTATGTGGCCAGGAAGGGGGAAGGAGGCAGCTTCTCTGTGTTGCTGCATGGAAGAAGCTGAGCCCCATCACTCACCATCCTTGAAGGGATGGATGTAGCCAAAAATCCTCAGCCCATAGTTCTTCCACTTGGGTGACACAGCCAACTTCTTCACTGTGGTGCGGGTCTGTGGTGGGAGACAGGCATGGAAGCATGGACACTCCATGTCTTGCACCCAGCCCACCTCCTCCATGCTGCCCTGGAGTCCCCTGGCACATAGGGGATCTGGAGGTCCCATCACCACCCACCTTTCCCTCCTGCTGGGAATCACCTGCCCCAAAAACAAACCCCGCAAGCAAAGGTCTTAACGAACAGTGGAGACCCAACAGCACCCAGGGAGGTAGGGGTGGACCCTCCCTCCAACCTACTGGCACCTGGCCCAAGACTCACATGGGGAAAAAGCGGGAAATGGAGATTCTTCCTCAGGTGCCTCACGGCCCCACCACACCAGTCCTCGAAGACGTGCAAGTTTGCCTTCCCTTTATACTGCAGGAGAAGAGAGGGAGGTGAGCAGGGCATCCTCCTCCTCCACATCACCCCCTTGGCTGCTCCCTGCCCATCTACCTGCTCATTCCAGGGCAAAGGTTCCTTGGTCAGGTTGAGTCTGGGGTGGGTGGTGACTCGGTTGGAACGTTGGCCTCTGGAAAACCAGCCATCCATGTCCTGCCCGTCGTTCTGCCAAGGAAGGAGAGGGAGAGATGAGATAGAGGATTAGGGCCAGCCCAGCCATGCTTGCAGGATGTCTCCCTACATCTGTGGTGAGGCACTGGCACAGGTTGCGCCCAGAGAAACTGTGGCTGCCCCGTCCCTGGAAGTGTCCAAGGCCAGACTGGGAGCAGCCTAGGCTAGTGGAAGGTGTCCCTGCCATGGCAGAGGGTGGGACTGGATGTGCTTTAAGGTCCCTTCCAATCCAAACCATCCTGGGATTCCATGATCTAAACCTCTTATTTTGGATGTTGAGTGTTGCCAAACCAAGTAAGTGCAAGATTTCACAGCTCACGGCAAAGGAAAGCAGGAGGCACAAAAATATTGGCAAGGTATCCCAGGCAGCACTTTCAAAATGTTCCAGTTCAACTTGTTTCCCTTCCTCTGCTGAAACTTCTCCAAAACAGTGAGTTTTCTGTTCACCAAAAATGTTCAGCTGGTCTGAAGGACTGCTGGAAACAGCATTTTGGGCTCCATCTCCAAAAGAGCAGAAGAAAGTCTGTATCCTGAGCAGAGGAAGCAGGACACCTCTCCACTCCCTCTCTTCCTTTAAAGGGCATTAGATTAATCCCATTGCTTGTGTCTCATAATTTAGAGGGATTAGGTGAGCATTCACCTGCCCATAGCTTGCTGACAAGTTGATGGATGGCAAGGAAGAGTCAGGCACTTCTGGAGCCCGTCAAGAGCACCTTTCCCTTCCACAGCCCCCCCCCAGAGCAGACATAGCAGTCTCACAACAGCACAGCCTGTTAGAATGCACAGTGCCAGGGAAATAATTAGCAAACTACCTAAACGAACTCATTAGTGTCCCAGGGGAGGGAGCAGTGCCCTTGAAGGACCTTACGAGGGAGGTGGCATAATTGTACCACACTCACTGGAAGGATTTGCCTCCAAGGGAAAGCCAAGATGTGATTCCT